CGATTGGGCTCGTCATCGGAAGAGGAGAAGAGAGGATTTCAAAAAGGATTCCGGTGGTAAATGTTTTGATTGCTTTCATCAAATGTTTGTTTTTGTGTTCTGATTGGGATAACAAGAGCCGTAATTGTTCGTCTGGTTGATGTGTTTATGGGTCTGATATATTCTCAAAATTTATGTATTTTTCATCCATTTTCAGTGTCGATTTCAGACATCGTGGCATGTCCTGAGGAGCAGATATTAACAGATGAGCAACCTGATATGGATGGATGTCCTGGTGGTGAAAATCTAGATGACGAAGGAGAGGCAATGGTTGAAGAGGCTTTATCAGGTTTACTACTAAAGCATCATCTATTTAAGAGTATTGTTTACTTTCAGAAGGAGGGCTTATTTTGATGTAGCTAGCTTTGGTTTTAGGTGATGAAGAGGATACAACTAGTGAACCAAGCTGGGGAATGGACTGTTCTAAAGTTGTTAGGGTTAAAGAACTTCATATTAGCTCTCCTATCTTAGCTGCGAAAAGCCCTTTCTTTTACAAGGTATCATCAATGGTTCTTCTGATGATGTTGTTACTTATATTTATGTGTATCACACTCTTGATTTCTTTTGCTCGGTTACGTTATAGTTGTTCTCCAATGGAATGAGGGAATCTGAGCAAAGGCATGTCACCCTTAGAATTAATGCATCAGGTACGCTATTGCAACATAAGCTAGTGGCTTGTGGTTATCTTAATGCCCTGTTAGTTTATCATTGGCCTTATGTTTTTAGTATGAGTTTTTTGCATTTGTTGTTCTATTGTGTATTAGTTCTTTGGCCATTCATGCCTTCGATCTCCATTAATTCTAAGTAATTTGCAGATTCAAAGTATTGATATGCATGTATACTCTGTTTTGTGTGTATGGCAGAGGAAGCTGCGTTGATGGAGCTTCTAAACTTTATGTATAGCAATGCGGTATCTGTAGCCACAGCACCTGCCTTATTAGATGTGTTGATGGCTGCTGATAAATTCGAGGTTGCCTCTTGCATGAGGTACTGCAGTAGACTTCTGCGCAATATGCCTATGACTCCTGAGTCTGCGCTTCTCTATCTCGAGCTTCCCTCTAGTGTTCTAATGGCTAAAGCTGTTCAGCCTTTAACTGATGCTGCAAAACAGTTCCTTGCTGCCCGCTACAAGGATATTACCAAGTAAGACCTTGAAACAATACAACAGTTTTGAATGTATTTCCACGATATTACTGTAATCATGAACTACAAGATGGTGGGTCATTTCTTATTAGCCATGGTTACCTTTTTTCCAGGTTTCAAGAAGAGGTTATGTCTCTACCCTTGGCAGGAATCGAGGCAATTGTATCAAGCGACGATCTCCAAATAGCATCAGAGGATGCAGTGTATGATTTTATCTTGAAGTGGGCAAGGACGCAATACCCTTTGTTGGAGGAGCGAAGAGAGATTCTCGGATCACGTCTTGCACTCTCCATCCGCTTCCCATTCATGACATGCAGGAAGCTGAAGAAGGTGCTGACTTGCAGCGACTTTGACCATGAAATCGCATCAAAGCTTGTTCTAGAAGCTCTTTTCTTCAAGGCAGAAGCTCCACACAGGCAACGTAGCCTAGCATCAGAAGAATCCGCCTCCGTGAACCGCCGTCTCATAGAGAGGGCCTACAAATACAGACCCGTCAAAGTCGTCGAGTTTGAGCTTCCTAGACCGCAGTGTGTAGTCTACCTGGACCTGAAAAGAGAAGAATGCGCAGGATTGTTCCCCTCGGGAAGAGTCTATTCACAAGCCTTCCACTTAGGCGGTCAAGGTTTTTTCCTCTCAGCGCATTGCAACATGGACCAACAGAGCTCGTTCCACTGTTTCGGTCTGTTCCTAGGGATGCAGGAGAAAGGGTCGGTGAGTTTCGGAGTGGACTACGAATTCTCGGCGAGGTCAAAACCCACGGAGGATTTCACAAGCAAATACAAAGGGAACTACACGTTCACAGGAGGTAAAGCAGTTGGTTACAGAAACCTGTTTGGGGTTCCATGGACGTCTTTTATCGCGGATGATAGTACTTGCTTCATCAATGGCATTCTCCATCTCAGAGCAGAGCTTACAATCAAAAGGTCTACAGATCCTCAGTGACCGTTTCTTTGTTCGTTTTATTTTATCCCACACTCTCTCTCCTTCTCTAACCTTGTTTCATCGCTTTTGTTTTTTTTCTTTTGTAAGGCTTGACGAAGACTTGAGCTTATAAAAAGTGTTTAAAAACGTTTCCACAAAGCGACGACGTTTAAAGAAGAATGTAAATGCGTTCGGATTTGTATCTCTTTCTATTCACGCGTGCTTAGTTTGCTTTATAAATATTACTTTTCAATGAAATTCTCAAGCATAGATTCTTTGTATTATGGACGAAGTTGCGTAAATCAACAAAAAATATGCGAAACGAATAAAATGGTCGTGTAACAACTCGGTTAAGTGTAAACAAAAAAAAACCGGTTTATATGGTATATTAATAACTTGCTTTCTTCGTAATCTCTACGCAGAGAAAGAGAGGGAATCATCTGAAAATTTACTACTTTAAAAAGAAAGATCAAACCAAATCAATCTATAGTCTTTCAACAACATTTCTTGAAGTATTTTTGATGCCGAAGAATAAAGGAAAAGGAGGAAAGAACAGAAAGAGAGGTAAGAACGAAGCAGACGACGAAAAACGTGAACTGATATTCAAAGAAGATGGTCAAGAATATGCTCAAGTTCTTCGTATGCTTGGAAACGGACGTTGCGAAGCGATGTGTATAGATGGAATCAWAAGACTTTGTATCATAAGAGGTAAGATGCATAAAAAAGTTTGGATTAGTGCAGGTGACATTGTTCTTGTTGGACTCAGGGATTTTCAAGACGACAAAGCTGATATTATCCTCAAGTTTATGCCTGATGAAGCTCGTTTGCTTAAAGCTTATGGTGAGCTTCCTGATAATGTTCGTCTTAACGAAGGAAT